AGAGAGAGAGAGAGAATTAGAGAGTGTGAGATAGCATGAGAGAGAGAGAGAGAATTAGAGAGTGTGAGATAGCATGAGAGAGAGAGAGAGAGAGAATTAGAGAGGGAGATAGCATGAGAGAGAGAGAGAAGCACTGACCTGGCAAACAGCGAATGGTAGCGAATCTCGGAAGAGTTAACACTGGGTACTGCCTAGCAATCTCTCCATCTCTCTCTTTGTCTCTCTCCCTCCCTCCCTCTCTCTCTCTCTCTCTCTCTCTCTCTCTCTCTTTCTCTCTCTCGCCACTGTCCTCTTGGAACCATGATTTGCTTTCTGGCTGCCCAGAAGCTGGAAGTAACACGGAGCTTCCGAGAGTAATAGCCATGGATAGATGGCTCTTCCATGAATGCATCCAACCTTTTAAAAAACAGTTAAGCTGAATGCCCAGCCCCTCATCCTGTTCCTTATTCCTGGGTGAAGACTCCGTCACACACTATGTGACATGTTCAATACATCCCAGCGCCTGGAATCGTACTGCGTTTTCCATTGGACTATTGACCCAATTTAAAGAGGCGCGTTCGATTCCCTTCACAATCACGTTCAGTTTTGACACCCTGAATGGGTTAGCAAACGGCCTTTTCTGGTGAGCCTTCTATGTTTTTAAGCAGACGGCCCATAAAACCCAGTCATGCCTAATCCCAGGATTGTTCAGATTTCCCACCGATGTTTGATGGGGGACTTTGCCAAAGCTGTTGTAGAAAGATGTGCCCTTAAATTAGGAACCAAACAATTGGCAATAACACAACAAAGGACTTTTTATTGGCGTAAACAACTGCAGGCAATCTATGACTTATGACAACGATTTGTAACGGAATCCATGGTGCTTGTTACGGCATTTTTATGACAGTCGTTAAGCGAATCATACAACTCATTAAGCAAATCCAGCTTCCCCAATGGGCATTTTTTTGCCATAAAAGGGCAGAAAAGATTGCAGTTCACATGATTGCAGGGCTTGTACAGCAGTCATAAGTATGAGTATAGGTCACAAGTCATTTTTTCCCATGGCTGTCTTAACTTTGACCTATTAAACAGATGGCCATAAATCGAGGACTAATTGTACAGGGATCAGTCGATTCCTTATCAAAGAAACACAGGAAATGCTCAAGACTCTCCGGTTTACAAGAATGGGATTCATTCAAACCAATGAAAATTAGAACCCAGAAATGTGGGATCTGATCATCTGACCAGGAGCTTCCTGGGCATTCTGTTGTTCTAGAGGGATTCCAAGGTCACCCTTTCCATCCATAACTAGCCTCTCCTGGGGCGAGGGGGGGGGCGATAATGGCCCCTTTGTGACCTGTGGGCTTCGGCATGGCCCCTGGCTCAGAGGTTCTGGGAATTGAAGTCCAGAGGTCACCCTGTTCAAGGAGGACTCTCTGTACCCAAAGCAGCAACGACTCGATTCCTTCCAGCCGATGAGATGCAACGTGAAAGTCAGCTTGGTTTTCGTGACATTTCTTTGCCTATGTTTATTGCCGCCAGGATGAAGAGGAATCCCTGAACGAAGTGGGCTATGACGACATCGGAGGCTGCCGGAAGCAGCTGGCTCAGATCAAGGAGATGGTGGAGCTCCCACTTCGACACCCGGCTCTCTTCAAGGCGATTGGGGTGAAGGTGAGGCTCTTCTCTGGCCCTGGAGCCTGAGCTGTGCACTGACGAGAGGAAGACCCTTCCCTCTCCTTCGGTTGGAGAATTCAGGATCCACGGGGTAGGGGTGGAGGGGGAACTGCGTGAGCCGCCCCCCCTCACCTCGTGTGTGTGTGTGCAATATCTGTGCCGGTGCTTAAACTTGAAGTCGGGTGTCCAACCTTGGCCACTTGAAAGAGCTGTGGACTTCAACTCCCAGGATTCTAGGAGGCTTTAACTCTTTGGCCGTAATGTGTCTCTCTCTCTCTCTCTGTAGCCTCCCCGTGGAATCCTCCTGTACGGTCCGCCTGGCACTGGGAAGACCTTGATTGCCAGAGCCGTGGCTAATGAGACCGGAGCATTTTTCTTCCTAATCAATGGTGAGTAGCTTTGCCTTGAGCCTCTCAACGGCAGCCCTCGGGTGGCTGAACCAAAAGGCTGCATTGCCACCCCCGCCAGGCAGGTACGGGGACTTCAACATGCAGTTCCTTCATTCCCCTGATTGCGATTACAAAGATTCTCTCGTTCGTTAATATCCCAAAGCAGAATTAAAGCTGATAATGCGATAGAGACAAACACGGTGCGGGTTTAGCAACACAACAGGAAACCCAGCACAGTCGCCATATAAAACACAATTGTCTTTTTAGGGACGAGATCGAAGTTGTTCTGAGAACCTCTTTGTGCTCCTGGGCATTTCATACCGGAGTTTGAAAGATGCTCTCTCGTGCAGGTGTCCTTGGAAACCTCAAGGTGCCTGAAGGAAACTGTCAGCACCTCTTAATTGAATAACTAGGAAAGAAAACCACGAGACTCCATTGATAGAAATCAAGTGTACTTTTACTAATTATAAATGATCAGAAGCGAATAATTAGGAAAGAAAACCACGAGACTCCATTGATAGAAATCAAGTGTACTTTTACTAATTATAAATGATCAGAAGCGTAGCAAAGCGAAGACTGAATATTTAGGCGCGAAAGCGAGTGATATATAGAATAACCCATTCCCCACCCCTTGGCATCCCAGTCACAGTCCAATCATAATTCTCCCAACTGCAGAAACATTTGAGTCACACATCTTGACCAGGGTACAGCAATAGATGCAATTTACATAGACTTCTGCAAAGCCTTTGAATCAGTGGTACATGATAAACTACTGTTGAAACTAAGTTCTTACAGCATTTCTGGATTACTACACAAATGGATAGCCATGATCCTAATAAACGGAGTAAAGGTGAAACCCAAAGGCAGGTGTCAATCAAGGAGAGAAGCAACTTAGAACTAAGGAGAAATTTCCTGACACTCAGAAGAATTGATCAGTGGAACAATTTGCCTCCAGAAGTTGTGAATTCTCCAACACTGGAA